ACATGATCAATTTGGGGTGGTGTACATTTTGTATAAGTTTCCTCCCTTACATGCAGACATGCTATCGAGTTAAGTATTGGTGGAATCTCTTCCTTAAATTTGGCTATAGCACTAACAGATAGGTTTCTGCTGCAGGAGCTTTTGAATAATGCTTTGTAGTCTCGTAACAGTACTTCAAAAGTTACTAAGAAATGGTCGGATAAAGCAGGATTATGCGGTTCGACTAATAGTTGCTCAATTTCAATACCATAAGTCAGAACAAGGTCGAGAGTGTGATTATAGCAGTGGGTTGGTTTATTTACACTCTGACAAAAACCAACAGAATCTAATATAGAGTTAAATGCAACAGTAAGGCTATTTTTATCATCGTCAACATGAATATTAAAGTCACCTACGATAATTACTTTATCTGTTTTAAGAACCAAAGTTGATAAAAACTCAGAGAATTCAGATAAGAATTCTGAATAAGGACCTGGTGCACGGTACACTGTAACAAATAAGATTGGCTGCAAAGTTTTCCAGGTCGGATGCGTAAGACTAAAAACGAGACTTTCAAAGGAGGTATAATTTAATTTTGGTTTAGTATTGATAAGTAAACTTGAGTCAAAGATGGCTGCAACTCCACCTCCTCGGCCCGTGCCTCGGGCAATATGAGTATTGATATGGCTGGGTGGAGTGGCCTCATTTATGCTGACATATTCTTCATGTCTCAACCAAGTTTCAGTGAGACAGCATATATCAATATTATAATCTGATATTAAATCACTTACCAATATTGCTTTAGATGCTAGAGATCTTATGTTTAAGAGACCACATTTAATATTCCTGTTTTGTTGCACTGTAGTAGTTGTTACATTTACTTTTATTAGGTTATTATGTATGACACCTCTATTAGGTTTTACATTAACTTGTCCTTGGGCAGACACACACACCGCTAATATTGGGTATTTTATTGGGTTCGGGATTCCTATGGATGACTGCCTAGGAGAGAGCGCAGAGAAGCGTGTAAGACTGCGACTCCGCCTCCTGGTCTCAACTCCAGTTTGTCATGGATTAAGTCCACAAAGCCCTGAAATGTTTGCCGAAATGAGATCGGCACCTTCCAAAGTAGGATGAATGCCGTCTCTCTTAATCAGACCAGGTTTTCCCCAGAAGGCTGTCCAATTATTTACGAAGCCCACATTGTTTGCTGGGCACCACCAAGACAACCAGCGCTGAAATGATGACATGCGGCTATACATGTCATCATTGATCAGATTGGGGAGGGGACCAGAGAAGATTACGGTGTCCGACATTGTTTTAGCATAACTACACACCGACTCCACATTAAGTTTGGTGCATTCTGATCGGCGTATACGAACATCATTACCACCGACGTGAATAACAATCCTACTGTATTTACGTTTATTTTTAGCCAGCAGTTTAAGATGCGCCTCAACGTCGCCCGCTCTGGCCCCCGGAATGCATGTGACTGTGGAGGCTTCGGTCTCTAATTTCACGTGTCTCATAATAGAGCTACCAATAACCAGAGTTGGCTTCTCAGCGGGTGTCTCGCTGAGTGGGGAATATCTGTTAGATACGTGAACGGGTTGGTGGGGACCTGCGGGTTTCGCGTTATGCCCCTTCTGAACAGTCACCCAGTCTCCCTGCTGCTCGGGAGTTGCCGGGGGACGGCTAATAGGAGCTACCTTTTGCCGGTCCGCACCGGCTAACATGGGCTTTACTGTAACTGAGTTTCTTTCTAAGATGCGGAGCCGGGCTTCTATGGCTATGATTCCCGCCTCCAACCTAACAACTATACTACATTTAACACATGTACCGGTACCAGTAAAGGAGGTAGGGAAGTAACCAAACATGAGACAGTTAGAGCAGGAAATAGCACCCGAGGGTGGGGAAAGAGCCATGGCTAGCTATCAAGCTAAAGTAGCTACCGTTAGCAAACCCGAAAAGAGTGTAGGCAACTGTGGAGTTACAGTCGCTAAGAGAAGGAGAGTTGTGAGAGCTTAAGTTATAGTAACGTGTGATTACAACGTCAGGCAGTTGCCGTGATCAAGAGTTTTAAAACGATCGATTAAGTTAAGATAATAAGCTATCAGCAACAGAACGGGCACACGGGATACCCGGAGATGACAACAACCGGAAGTTACAACATGCTTACCGCAATAGTGGTCCGTGTAGAAAACAGTCCAGCGACCCAGCATGCCTGAGAAGTACCCGTGAACACTGGGGGCTTGAATGTGTGATGAGAGAGGAAAAGAAAGTAAAAAGGCTTGGAAAAGCAGCAGAATATTTGAACCGCAAACTTCTGAACTAAGTTGATGGCGAATGATCTGTCGCCATGGCAACAGCATTTGATGACACCCCATAATACGCTTAGATGCGTTGATGGCTGCATCATTACCAAACCTGTGAAGTCTTGGGCTGTTTGGAGTATTTTCACTGAAGTTATGAGAAAACCGTGTTTCCAGGCGAGCATTTTGTTGCCATGGTAACGGCAATTGAAGAAATCTCAAAACTGTCCCGTAGATGTCTTCAAGGATTGACTGTTAGCACACTTGAGCACTTTTTGAACATTTTCATAGGAGTTATAGCGACATCATGTTTTATGGCGAGGGATGTGTTTCCATGGAAACGGCATATGGTGAGATCTCAGATTTGGCGTAGAGCTCTTGAGGCATGGACCGGTGATATACAAGTGAAGATTGGGGGACGATTGGACCGTGTCCATTGGACTTACAGCGACATCCTGTTTCATGGCAAGTGATCTGTCGCCATGGCAACGGCATTTGATGACACCCCATAATACGATTAGATGCGTTGATGGCTGCATCGTTACCAGACCTGGGAAGTTTTGGGCTGTTTGGAGTATTTTCACTGAAGTTATGAGAAAACCGTGTTTCATGGCGAGCATTGTGTTGCCATGCCAACGGCATTTGAAGAATTCTCAAAACTGTCACGTAGATGTCTTCACGGCTGGACTGTTAGCACACATGTGAAGTTTGAGCACTCTTTGAACATTTGCATAGGAGTTATAGTGACATCATATTTTATGGCGAGGGATGGAAACGGCATATGGTGAGATCTCAGATTTGGCGTAGAGCTGTTGAGGCATGGACCGGTGATATACAAGTGAAGATTGGGGGACGATTGGACCGTGTCCATTGGACTTATAGCGACATCATGTTTTATGGTGAGGGATGCGTTTCCATGGAAACGGCATATGGTGAGATCTCAGATTTGGCGTAGAGCTGTTGAGGCAAGGACCGGTGATATACAAGTGAAGATTGGGGGAAGATTGGACCGTGTCCATTGGACTTATAGCGACATCATGTTTTATGGCAAGGGATGCGTTTCCATGGAAACGGCATATGGTGAGATCTCAGATTTGGCGTAGAGCTGTTGAAGCATGGACCAGTGATATACAAGTGAAGATTGGGGGACGATTGGACCGTGTCGATTGGACTTACAGCCACATCGTGTTTCATGGCGAGTGGTCTGTCGCCATGGCAACGACATTTGATGACACCCCATAATACCCTTAGATGTGTTGATGGCTGCATCGTTACCAAACCTGTGAAGTTCTGGGCTGTTTCAGTATTTTCACTGAAGCTATGAGAAAACCGTGTTTCAAGGCGAGCATTGTGTTGCCATGACAACGGCATTTGAAGAAATCTCAAAACTGTCCCGTAGATGTCTTCACGGCTGGACTGTTGGCACACTGCTATCTGAAGTCTGCTGCTCTGAGCATGTCAGTTGGAGTGATGACATCATCGTGTTCCATTACACAGGTGTTTATAGTTGAGCTAACGAGCTCTGTAGAGATCACAGGTTTCCATTGTTCTGAATGAGAGATAAACCTCTTACATGTGAACGTTTTGTGGAAGAACCGTAACAGATATCTGTGAAATTTCAAAAGGTGAAGCATGTCAAGGAAGTTGAGTATCTGAAGTGTAATTTGTGTGTAGTTTCGGGTTAATAATGTGGCCTTTTTGGCAGTTTAACTAAAGGTGTGCGGCTGCACAAAAGGAAAAGGAAATATCTGCCTGCAATTACAATGGGCTTCAATGGAGGAATGTTGAACGTTTTTGACACTTCATGCCCTCAAGAGGCATTTTGTTGAATTATTTTTGCTTAATTATTTGGCCTTTTTCAAGCTACGAGATGTTTTCCTACGTTTATCATGAAAAAGTATGTCTCAGGAATGTAGAGTTTGGGAATTTTTAAAAAAAAATATGAAGGCACATTTCAAGATTTCTTACCCTCTAGCTGTGACATCACGCACTCTAGTTAATGTTCAAATGTGAAGAAAACCTCTAAACCAAGGTCTGAACAAATGTTAATATCTCTAAAAGCAAGAATCAGATTTAAAAGTTGTTTTACACGAATAATGTCAGAAAGATTTGTAACATTTTAAAGTTGGAATGAGGTTTCTGAGTGAAAGTATGAATGAACAGTTAGCAGTTGAAGTCGCATGAAGATTTGTTGAAGTCTGAAGATTTCCTCCATTGACTTCAATGTTAAAAATGTGATGTATTATTGGATGTATCTCTGGAATTATGAAAGTTATGAATGAGAAAAGTAATAGCCATCGATTCCCGACCGAGCTGAACGTTTTGATGTTTGAACAGAGTTTCTGCGATGTTCAATGCGGGAGGAGAAGAGGGCCAAAATACCGGTGGAATAATAATAATAAAAATTCGTCCGTAGAAGAACAGTTAGTTGGAATGCTGTTAACAGCATTGAATATATCATGTGGGGCTTTTCAATACAAGGCTAATTGGACAAAAGCAATATTTGGTGTCGTAAAATAAATTTCAGTCATTTTTAAGGGCTTTAATTGTTAATGAGGATCCTGTGGAGCAGAAGTATTCACAGAGAGTGTAGAGAGATACAGGTTTAGTAAGTTTACATTAAAGCCTATACCTAGTGGAACTGTTTAGATCCTCCCTCTCCGTTAAGGCTACACCCCTTTGTCCTCACACCCATTCATGTGGTACCATTCACATTCACTCTGCGACTCACAAAGTGGAAAGGATGCAGGAGAAGTAGAGTGGAAGCAGTCAGAGTGGTTTTCCCACGGAGAGAGTGAGTATGAAGGAATTTAACAAAGCAGTGCAATTTATGGTGAGTCTCTTTTGATTTGGTAGATTCTGCAGATGCTTTAATAACACCGGTATGATTAAATTCCTGAATTCTTTTCATTCTTTGGGATTTTGTGCCCTTGATGCAAAAGATTAAAAAGATTAAACTTTTTTTATTGTAAACATTTTAGCCATTTGTTATTTAATTGTTCAAGATCACAACTTGGTATTGACACCATTCACTCTTTGCTAGTTAAACATCATAAACACAGCAAACTGAATGCAAAGAAAAAAGCAATAAATATAGGAAAACAAATCAAAAGGCAGCCTGAATACCCAACTGCTGCACCTTTGTACCTTTTAGAAGCTTACAGGAAAATAATGGGGTAAACGGGACTATATCAAATGATAAACTCCAAGTCAGTTGAAAAAGAAATACATTTTTACAACACTGAATACAATTAAAAGAAAGGTATAAAAACAAAGCACTAGATGTGGGTTTTTGGATGCAGATGGTTGAAATGATTTTAGTTCACGTTGTATTGAGAACTGTTAAGGGGTTTCTGATGTGTGAAATAGATACTAAAGAGGGAAGTTGATTAGTAAAAATGAAAATAAAAACATTGGCAAAACATTTTCTGTTCATAAGGAAAGTCACCACAAAGCAGTACATTTCTTCTTTCAAGAGGAAGTTCAGCTGCATGATGGTATGCATAAGGAAGAGTGACAGTGACTATTGATGGGTTTTATCTTATACTTTGTTTTATAAACATAAATCATGTAAACAAATCTGTTTGGACATGTAATCTCTCATCAGTCTTTATTGCTTTGATTAACGCCCTAGATTTTTGTGACTAATTACAGTTAACATTGCCAACCAGAGTAAAGTGGCAGAGTAGATTAAGAAGGTGTGTCTCCTTGTTATAGTTTAATCTGCTTCACAATGCAGGTACCACAATGTGCTGTTTCTGTAGATTTATCCATTGTATTAACATATAGACTCATCATTTGAAGCATGTATTAAGTGTGCTTATGTATGAGTTGGTTAATAAGAGTGATAATTAATATAGTGAAATATTAAACAGTGATGGCTTCCAGCTAGTGTCTTTAGCAGGGTCATGAAAACATGTTGTAAGGAACTCAACTGTAAAGAAGAATTTCATGGTGCTTTGATTCTAAGTGGGACATTTGTATTTCAGTTTCTTTCGTCACAGTGGGCTTGATCTCAAATACTACAGTTTTACTCAACATTGAGCTCAGGTTTAATAACTTCCTTGTACTGTAAATTAAGTCTGCTTTAGAAAAGGTGTTTTATGTTTCATGCCAGCAGCATTTACACCTGTGGATCTGTCCAAACATGCACAAATTAGATTTGAATCTCCTATTTATTTAGCAGAAGCTCATTCCTCAATAGATAGACCTCGTTTACCTGCTTTTTCTATATATGCCCTAGCTTTCACTTGCTCAATACCCTGAAGGCTTTGACTGTGGGAAAAACCCACTCCTAAAATCAAGTCCAACAAGAAACAGTTGGTCGTGTGAAACCTTATCTCAACAGAAACTTTTATTGCTCAATATGCCTGTATTGTTGTGACAAATAACATCACCCACGTAAGGTCTAAAAGGGGGAACGAAACCGGGCACAACTGTGAAATGATCTGCCCCAACAAGTTGAAGTATCTTGGCTATTGCATCTTAGCATGGCATCATCCAAATCTACCCCTTCTAAAATCATTATCCAGTTCCAAATAGGTTTCTCTTCACTTTGTCCGTTAAAAACCAGTTTGTTCTTTACTTGCACTGTTTGTTTCCTCCGCCCACTCTCTGTGTGCATGGATGTGCCTGTCACTGTGGTTGTTTGTGCTGCACAGCCTCCAATAGTGTGACTTCACTCACTGGCCAGTCTTTGCACTACTCAATACCCCATGGTGTTGGCTATTGTAAGTGCTGCCAGTGGTGATACCCCATTTTGCACACTGGTTCTATTGTGAGGGTTATTGAGCAGGGATCGCCTTATTACCCCCTCCCCTCATTTGCTTTCTGTCACAGTCGTCTTTTTCTCCCTCCTTTACACTTCATAGGTTCGGAGAAGTGAATGAGTTCGGGCCTCTTCTCGGTATCCACAGAAAGCGCTATCTGGGCCCCTCCATCCTTCTTCAGGCTGCATGTAGCAGGTGTCCAGAGTGAACAGGATCTGTACCTCCTACACTGTGAATGAGGAGGAGACGTGATGACTCAAAACGATAGCTGTAGCAAAGTGTGCTGCAGGGTCGTATATAGCTGCCACTGGAAAAGTAACTTAAGTAAGGTCAAAAAAGTGAGTATTTCTAGCCATATTTATGTTTATATTTAAGTTATTAAATTACCTGGAAGTTTGAATCATAGATGTTCATCATTCCTTTGCCACTGCCTTATACTGTCTGTATGTGATGGTTATAAAATAATTGACCAAAATCACTTTACCTTTTTCCTTCTTCAGGTTTTTTTGTTCTTTCATTGGGCGTAACTCCAAACAAATCCCTGTAATCAGGGATTAACATTCCACCAGACTGAATTCAGAAATATTGCTGTTTGTTTACAGAAAGCTTACAAAAGATGGACTTTGTAAAATAATAATAATAATAGTAATAATAATAATATTTTGTATTTGTAAAGCACCTCTCTAAATTCTCCAAGACACTTTATGATAGCATACAAACAAGCATACAAACTACATGAACAAACCAAATGAAATGAAATGATAAGAAATATCTGACGGTTAACCAGTGGAGACTTGAGATAGAAGGAACTTGGTGCAGCCTACAGGAGATAGGAATGTCATGAGGGTAAGGAAACATATGTGCCAACAAAAAGAAGAAAACTAGCAGGCCCAAACATGTTTTGTTTTAAAAAAAATCTGGAACAGGATTAAAAGGGGGAGGAGGATGTTGGGGACTTTAATTTACAAGAATGAGAGGGTAGAGGTGTGTTGTTGATGGCGAAGGAGCATAAAGGACCTGTTTGTGTGAAGTTGTCACGTGATTGAAGGGCGAGAGAGCAATCATTAAAAAATGTTGACATTGTTCCATTGTCTTCTCAGATCAAATTCCCTTTGGTATCCATTCCCACATACTTTATTCTGATCACAAACAGAATACAAAAGATGTTATTATATTAACGACCAAATAGCTTAGAAGTGTGAAAATGAATAATATTTCACCTGTTCTTTTCATGTTAGCATGCATGCTGTTGGCTATCATATGTGGCTCTGGTGTCCCTGCTCTGCCTGTGCTGGATGTACATCTGTCTGGTTACTTATAATGACCGAGAAGATGTGAACTGGTGAGTGATCACCAACATACAAACAAATAGCCCACATGGAATCTAGCTCAAAAGCCCAGAGTCCTCTCTTTTCTTTTCTTTTCTTTTCTTTATTGGTGACCTTTATCCTGTTAACCCTGCGCTGCTCTCTTTTGTTCTCAGGCAGGGCTTCAAAAAGCTGAAACTATGGGTGAACTGGTTCATGGTGCTCATCATCATTTCCGCAGTGATGACCAGCTACTGTGTTCTGCTGCTGGTGAGAATATAGAATAAAGCTGTGATGTTGCAGAATAATACAGAGTGCTGGTAAATACTGGTATGAGATGATATGATTATAAAAGCTAAATAGGAAACATTAAATAGCTATTGCCTTGTATCAGATGTAATAAAAGCATACAAAAGGGATTTGGTGGGTTGAGTAAGAAGCTTTGTAGAGTGTCTCTACTGATGATTGGAGAGGAAAGGTACCATAAACTGTTTTCATAAACAATTTTATAATCTAATATATTTTATTACAGCTATTTGCGCTCTTCCAAGTTGCCATAAGAGAACCACTCAACTTACACTGGCTGCACAAGGTATCAACAACATGTAAATCTCCATTTTTTTAAAAACAATTATGCTTTGGTTGGTGAGATTGTTTATTATGCTTTTTTTTTTTTTCTGTTCTCAGATATTGTTATTTCTTGGTGTGATTTTCGTGGCGTTGGGATTGACAGGAATTTCTTTGCAGTGGCCACAAGAATGGCCAACTGTTCCTCTTTCACTACAGGTACAGAAAGTGTGTAAGGGAATAATATAATGTCAAAGTGTAAATGTCTGTTGTTGTTTTTAACGTAATTGTCATTGTACAGCAAGTTTTTGATGTGCATGTCGGCCTCTCTGCAGGCCACAGCTCCTTTCTTGCAGTTTGGTGCTGTTGGGGCGCTGACGCTGCTGTCCTCGTTCGTCTTCAAGGGCATTCACGCAGCCACAGAAAAATGTATGTCTCAGACGTTACATAAAATAACAAGAATCACAGCAATGTGTTCCTTCATCAACACAAAAATGGCCAAACACACATATTATAAAAGAGTCCATTTTGAGATACATTATAGGTTGATAGAAAGAGTGAATCAAAATGTATTATATAAAGGACAGAGGACACAGATATACATATCTGTATCACAACTGGCAACACCCTTAATTATGGAATTGTGACCCCAAATCTTACCCATTCATTTTCATGAAACTCAGCGAGTGAAATTGTGAGATTTCAACAAAGCTGTCACTACTAATTTCTCTTCTTAAGGTGTTTTTGTAAAATATGTACCGAAACATTCATGTGTCAATACATGCAAGGACAAATAGGAAACACAGACTGGAACAGCACGATATTCATTACACTCCCAGAGAACAAACATTGCTTGTTATTTACTCACACTTTCAAAGGGATTTTGTAAACAACTCAAAATGAAAGCCTTATTGTTTTACTTTTGTTCTCACCAGGGTCCAAGTTCCTGATTGGAGCAGTATTTATGGTGCTGTCAGCAGCCATCTTCCTGTGTCCCCTGATCATCCAGTCTCCTTGTCTGATAGAGTTGGCTAAATTACCTGAAAAACCAAAGCTAATTGGTCACCGCGGAGCACCGATGGTGAGCATCCTGTTTTACTTGACAACACCCAAAACGTACACATGATCACATTGTGTCCAATTCTTTTCAACTTGTTTTTCAACTCTAAATGTATTGTCCTTCAGGGGAAATGTGTCTCGCAGCCAGGTAAAACAAATAACACAAACATGAATACTTCAAGTAACCTATAGAATCATCCATCAACAGTTATTTTGGAAACTATTCATCAGCTAAATCCTCATGAGTATTTACCCGTTTGGTGGACGAGGGAAAAAACAATTGATTACCCCGTTTTATCTGACCTTTGATCTTCTAAATCCCTGAAGAGGATATGGAGGACTGTCAAAATATCTTGAGCCTTTGAAATTGCTCTCTTACAATAAATGTGGACGGATCAGGCAGTTTAGCAACAATAATCTTGTTGGAACGAGCTGCCATCCCAGTTATACATATTGTGTGTGTAGTCAGAGGAGAGCAGTTTAGTGATAATTTAAAGGAATAATTTGACATTCAGAGAAATATGCTTCTCACTTTCTTGCTTAGAGAGAAAGTCAAGGCTCCAAGCCAAAACATATCTGCTACATAACACCCATAGAACATCAATTTGTCATTTATTATCCAACTATAACTATATTATATTGAGTTTACATTACAATATTGTCAGGGAATAATTTGCCCTGCATGTCCTCCCTCGCCCTCTGACGCAGATGCCCAGCCTTAAGGAGGGGCTGCCCTAGCATTTTGTTGTTGTTACCAGTTTACGACCGGGCAACTCTCGGTCAGAGATAGTAATTGTTGTGGGACACCTGGAACACATCCTTCTCGGGGTGTAGATGACCCCTAGCCATACGCGACAACAAATGTGATTCAGTGTCCTCAGCTGTTTAGTCTATTGAAGAATGTTGATTATTACACTCTGAACTAGTTAAAACCTTGAGCTACAGAAGAGTTCTTCAGAATTGATTTGGCATCTCTACCGTGTGGTCAGATCGTGGCCCGTGACATGTCTTGTCAATTCTCTGGCCGAAGCTCCAAATAAATCCTCAGTGTTTGACATCAAAGCTCCAGCTCTCCTCGTGTCTCTCTGAGTCCTGACTCCAATTGCTTCAGAAGTTTCCCCCACAAATATATGTCATTTAGCTGACGCTTTTATTCAAAGTGACTTACAAAAAGTGCAATAAACCATAAAGATATAACAAGAAAAATGCACACACATTCCCCACGAAAAAGACAATCCATTGAAGTGGTAGTGCATTAGTTTCAAATGGGCTAAATTATTTTACTGACATTTTTGTGTTTGTTAAATGTAATGGCAAAGGTACAAGCAAAACAGGGATTTCAGTTTGTGACGGAAGATATATAGATGTTCTTCTCTCCTGTGGCAATTGGGAGTTCTAGTGTGAGAACTGATATGTTGTGACTTACAAAAAAATGATATGACTGGCTCAGCTGTGAGTACATGTCCAATCATGTGAGAGCCCCATATGCTGTGCAATTCTGTCCCTGTTAGTTTTTGTGCTCTTGTGTCACTGTCAATAAGCTGAATTTAATACTGTGAAAGTGAGGTTAGCTTTAGGGTATTTTTTTAGCTTATGCCCATGAATGTCTCTCACCCATCTGTCCTCCCTGTGTTCAGATGGCCCCAGAGAACACCATCATGTCGTTCAACGAGAGCATCTCGTGCGGCGTCATAGCCTTCGAGACAGACGTACAGCTCAGGTACGATGAATTTCAGTGATTACAGTGATTTCTACAGATCCAAAGCACCACTGAGTGTTCGCTACTGTTAGTTTACCTTTTTTTTCACTGCACAAATACAGTTTTCAATTATAAAGCTGACATATTATGATGGAAAATATTTTTATTTATTTTGAAAATAATGATCGGACAAAAGTATAGCAGGCTTCTCTTTGCTGAAATAAATACTGGCTTTACAGTATTTTATCATAGCTATGTTGTCCAGTTTGGATGTCCCTCGTTAACTTTTATGAAATGTAATTCTAACATTTCAGTTGCCTGAAAAAGTCTTGTTCAGTGTATAATTGTACTTAGCTGAACCCTATTGTGTTGTATTTGGTTAAAAATAAAAAGATGGAGATGGCCAAAATTCAAATATAGAGGCTTAAAAACCATAGAGCATAAACCAATTGGGGATGTTACTTGACTAGTGGTGTCCACCTCCCCACAATAGATGCTAATGTTACATATTATAGTAGCATGACATGTATCATTTGATCAGCTTCTATCTGGTTGTTGATCAATTCAAATGACTGATCTATGTTGCTTTGTGTTGCTCAATCAATGTTTTTCCTTTCAAGAGTGTCTTAGTTGCCCACAGAGGTCAAAGAGGGTCATGAATTACTCAATGTACCTTTAAAATTGGGATCGTTCCGGCCTCACAGATGCTTTTTTAAATTTGTTTTTATACAATAGTAAAGATAGAATTCCATTCTTGATGCATGACAATAATCAGTCTGGGTTCCTGCGGAGAACAACAAATGTAAAAGACAAGTTCCCCAACAAGGACTTCAACCAGAGCGCAGACTTGACCTGGGAGGAACTGCAGAGTCTGAATGCAGGCGAATGGTTCATAAAGGTAAGGGCTGGCCGTGCTGTGACACATGCTTGTCCTCACACTCACTTTTAAAGGTTGATGTGGTATCATGCAACAGTTACAGGAAGTGCGCTCTAACTTTCCAGACAGATCCTTTCGAGTCAGTGTCCAAGCTGTCAGAAGAGGAGAGGGAAACGGCGAGGAATCAGACCATACCCTCCTTACGTCAGCTCCTCAACCTCGCCAAGCAGCACAACATCTCAGTGATATTTGACCTTTACAGTCCAAACCAGGAAAATGACACAGTAGCCACAGTCGACACCATCTTGAGATCTGGCATTGACCCAAGCCTGGTAGGTCTAATTCTGATGCATCTGATGGAATTTGAAATATTTAATGATAATGCATATTTTGTTAAGTTGTTGTGTATTTCTTTTTATAGATCCTCTGGCTTCCTCCAGTTGGAAGAGAATATGTAAATAAGATTGCTCCAGGCTTCATTCAGTTCTATAACAACGAAAGTGAGATGGTTAACGAAGAGGGGAACCACCTTAATTTGAAATACAGCAAGTTCAGTACAAATAAAATCAGGTAAAGAAATACATATGGAACTACATACACGCATATCGTCTATGTGCTAATGCCAGGACTACACAGTGTGTTATTAACAGTATGTGTAGCAGGCCGCGACACGGTGCTGGCACTCAATAAAAAGACACAGGAATGGCTTCCAGGGAAAATGATAACAAAAATATGTCTATGGATGAGAAAACAATCCTTGAAAAAATTGCTAAGGAATGCAATGCCTTTCAAGTGCTGAAATAACTTACTGTACATGTAACGTAATGTGACAGGCTTCATGTCTTCTACATAAAACGAATCCATGTGAATTAAGTTTGAAAGTGTACAGAACTTTTTGTAGTTGTCTCGCCTTTTATGCAAGAATAAAAACTATTTAATGTTGATTTCTATTTGCTATTGATATTTGTATTTATAGAAATGCAAACATGATGTTATAAGAACACTTTGACAGCGAATACATTGACCAAAAAGGAAGTAAAGACAAGGGCCACAGGAGCGTAATAAATAGCCTACATTTGCATGCACATACATGCACCCATACATTATACTGCACAGAGACAAACATACATATACAGACCTGCAAACACATGCTGTCCTGCTTTTCCTGTCTTCCAATATATTTATCTTTTCATTTACTTACACTGTAATCGGAGCGAAGTTCTACATTTCAAGCGCTGTGTTTATATCTGACAGGGAGACTCGGGGCAGGAACATTACGGTGAACCTGTGGGTGGTTAATGAGCGTTGGCTGTTCTCTCTGCTGTGGTGTGCGGGGGCCAGTTCTGTTACCACCAACTCCTGCCACCTCCTAAAAGACATGAAGAAGCCAAACTGGGTCATGGTGAGTAGGCCTAATACATAATAATACACGTACAGTAGCACAGGATTCACTTAACTACCTTTCGGTTTATTTCACTATTTTGTTTTAGATCCAACAAGTTTATTCAAATGTTTTCCAAAACATGTAATGGGCCTTGATGTTATGGGCTTGTTTGTGTGTTTCAGGCACCTCTTAAGTACACAATAATATGGATTACAGTGGACATTGTATCTATTTTTATAATGATTGGACTCTACATCTTACAATGGTAAGTGGAACAGATGTTTGTGGGTCTGCTATATGAAAGATGTCAATAATAGATTAACTTATCCACCTCACTGTTTCTACCAGGAAAACAAACTGTTTCAGTCACAGACAAGGTAAAGTATGATTAGATTTTAAAAGAATATTAACATTAGGGCTGTAATCAATGATTGTTTTCATTATTCATCAATCACCAGATTTTTTTCAAAATTAAGTTCTTAATGTTTATCAACCTTTTTAGAAAACCCTGAGCAACATCTTCAATGTTGTAGTCCAAAACTCAAATATTTTCACTTCATTATTATGTCAAATTAAAAAAATCTGGTGATGGACGAACTTATTAACCAACTAACTGTTTCAGCTCTATTCTATCTATCTATCTAGTTGAGAGAACATTGAAACATGTGGGCCTTCCCCAAATACCATTGCTATCCATGAATCAATATTGCTATTACTCTTTTTTTTTTAAAAGGTACAACATATTACAACTTTTTTCTTAAAGCTTTTGATTTGGTTTTGACGTCAAATTTTTTAAGTAAGGTATAGAGGACAGGTGTGACATTGACTCAATTAAATGTATAAATTATATACTGAAGCTTAATAGATCTGTAAGGCGATCATTACACATTTTGGATTGCCAGGTTGTTAAAAAAAAAATGTTTTACCTAATTGCACATTCTTAACATTAACAGTATCATTTACAAACATTTACAATTGCAGAGTTAATGGATAAAAAATCGAAATTGAAAAAAATTGATGGACTTAGTTTTGTAAGTGTAACGACTGAATGAACACAAGTGGAGGACTCAATAGCACGACTCAGAGACAGGCTTAGGATGCAAAAAAGGTCTTTATAGCCAAGGTTCGGTACACGGGAGATCAGTCAATAAGGCTACCAAAACAGACGAGGAGTAGACAGGGACCGGGTCAGGACACGAAGCTGGGTCAGGTACACGTGGAATCAGATACTAGGAAAAAAACACTGCTGGAACGCTAGGAATAACTAAGACGAACTGGCACTGAAGGGAATGTGGATGCAGACTAAGTAGACAGAGGGAGAGATGATAATGGGGCACAGGTGAGGCTAATTAAGGATAGGAAGCAGGTGGAGTTCAATCAAGGGCAGGAAAGCTGAGACTGAAATGAGAGAAACAAAAATGGGAACAATAACAAAAACATCAACATGCTGGCTAGGCCCTTACAGTAAGAACTGCAACAAATTAAAATGGATAATGGAAACTACGTAACATTACATTATCACTACCAAATATAAATGTGGTACTTAAAATATTAGAAAATGGGGCCAGCTACTTCACTGAAATGGATGTGTTTAAAACTGTATTTTTGTGACCCCTCACAGGAGCAGAGAAGCAGGGTCCCAATACTTTGGCCTGGAACGAGAAAGAACTGTCGCCCTTCTTGCCCGCCAGGTAGATCCCTGACGCCAGCAGGAGATTCAGCCCCAAAACTGACCTACATCCTGGCCTGCACCACCAGCATAGTTTAGTCCTATATCAGAAAGAAAGGATGGCGGTTTTAGTTTTTAGTTTCTAACTCTAGCGGGTCAACTGGGTTTTGAAGATTATTCTGTTCTACTCAAAATATAACGTTTCTTTCAGATTGTATGACTGTAATTGCACTGAAGATCTGCACTTGATTTCCTATTGGCACTTTATGTCAAGACGTTTTTTTCTGTTGTTGCTGTTCCATTTTCTTACAAAATGTATTTCATGTTGTCACAACTGAATGAATTGTATGTACTGTACATCGCTTTTTAAAATGTTGTTTCCATTTCATGCAGTGTAACTAAAAGCACCACAAAAATCCTCAACAACATGAATATATTATTTTTAAACACCAAGTACATTTTTATTTTGTTACTGTAAGGTTATGGTATACATTAAAAGTGTTGCATCATGACAAACATATGGCTGCTTGTTTCTTTCAGAAATAATTCAGTAATTTAGTTTCTCTAATTTCATTTGTTGTTTTTGTTTGTGAAAGGATGGGCGTGACATCTTCTGCACTTTTCCTTATACACTTAAGTATTACAATCTATATTTGCTTAAATGTATCATGTTAAGGTGTCAGTTAAATCATTCCAAAACTATATAAAAATGTAAGACTGCTTGCACCTTGCTTGCACAATGAATATTATTCATTTTATACATGATAGTTTTAACTGGCTACATATTGTAAGCACAGCTTTTACCTGTAACGGAGTATTTTTACATAGCGTCATTTCTACTTTACATTTTTCTAAAACTGAGATGATAAATAGCAAAGCAAAAATGCAACATTATACACCTCAGCTTTTCATGATCCATCTGAAACATTGTCAACATATTACAATGTGCACAGGTAAAAAAAAAGACTCTCTGTTGCCTCAGGGAGTGAAATTATGACTATTAAAAATCATAGATATCATCTTATAGATTCCACTCATTTTCTTCCATGTCAAAACTTGGTGCCTACATTACCCATGATGCAACTCGACCGTTAAGAGTCGGTTCTGTTATGCTAGCTAGTAGGTAGCAGCTAAACTATAATCAAACTGACAGCCTCCAGCAGGGATGAGAAACGGGCTACAAAGGTCTGTTTAACTCATTTAATTATCACTCCACACCCCCAGAGTTTGTTTTGTTTCATTTTTTAAACTTGTAGTCGTGAATCCCAATCAGGCTTCCTCTGCTTTGTATGCGAATATAACTTTGTTCAAGAGGATTAGGGCCACATATAAGAAACATTTAAAAAAAGGAATGATACATTTTGAGTTCTGACTTTAATGTCAGAATCCTGAAAGAAAAATAATTTGTTTTATTATCTCTTAATATTTATTACTTAATATCTTTTTTCAGAAAATCTGAGAATAGTCAAACATTTTTTTTAATACACATCCCAGTTGTTTTTTTTAGGATTAGTCATTAGTAAATAAGTTATCATTTACCTGTGATTTCGTAGCAACACTTTCACACACCGCTAGATGGCACACAATGCTAACGTTTAAACAAGAGTAATGGAGAAGAGGCGATTTTGGGCTGAAGAGAGAAAAATATAACCCGAAGATATTTTTTTTTTATATTTCATTAACTAATTAATCACCCATAATGTAATGGGAAGTCCATCAAAGCTAATTATATGCAGCTAGTTTAAATACTCACACTACACTGTCCATATGAAGCGAAACCACAGGGCCGTGATCCATGAAGGCGAGGCATGTGTGTGAGGGGAGGAGAAACATGTCACGCACTGGGACCGTTTTCTGCCCAAAAACTTTGGAAAGTTGACATGAAGTAAACAGTCTCCTCTTGTCACATTTCAACCCCTGCCTGTGGGTGTGGACCTCTGCTGCAGAAACACTTCAGACAGACGGGGAGTGTCCAGGCTGGATTTTAAACTCAACCTCTCACTTGTTGTGAAGGAGGCGACCGTTATGGTTGTATAATTATCCGGGACTAATACTGTAATTATTTTTCTTCCTAAAAAAAAACCCCGAAACTGTAATTTACATGACTTTTTGCGGAGTTGACCACACCATGGTGCATAAATATGGTGAGTACCGTTAACATCACGTTACATCTACATCACGTGTCTACGTTTTGTAGTAAGTCTCGGTTAAGTTTTAGTGTAATGCCAGCTCAGGAGTTTATGAAAGTTTGTGTACGGGTTTTCATTGTTCCTCTTACCTCAGTTATAGTCCATAGAGGAAAACGGGAATGTTCTTTTCCTTAGGGAATGATACAAGTGAAATACTGTAACTGGGAATTGAGCAACTTCCGGCCAGGAGTGAACTGTTCTGCCAGTTCTTTCGCTCAGATGTTCAGAAACTGTGAAGTTGTTGATTTACCTCCGTGCATGAGCATCATCTCTGCTGAGTTCCTCACCAACCACCGGGTTCAACAACCAGCTGTACAGTCGTGTTGCAAGAGAAAAATACCTTTTTAATGTGCTCTGCAGGGGAATGTAACACACAACAGTCAAGTCAAATATAAAACATTATAATAGATTTTCTAAAAAGGACAATCTCACATTTAGAGTTAACCATCTGTCTGAGAGAGTATAACATGAAGTTGTTGCTTCCTGTGTATAGCTACTTCATCATGTTACAACATCACTTTTTACAGCTCCTTTTCTATCTTACACTTAAAATGTTTTTGTAACTATAAGGATCATATATTAAAGAATGTCTGAAATGGCTTCTCTTTCTCCCCATGTTCTTCCTTTTTTAACAATCATAAAACATTTCTGTATCGTATGTGATTATAGAAAATAATCACAAGTTGCAGACCTAACCGATTTAAAGGGGTATCCTGTTGCTTTTCATATTCTATTGCTTTAAAAAAACAATACCATACATATTTAATGTAACCAAATTCACCCTCAACCCTGTCACGAATGACTGCCAGCATAGGCTCTTTTCAGCTGTTGTCCTAAGAAATGCATTTATTTTGTTTGGCAGACACACAGCGAGCAGTGGGGCTGCTCAGACACTACCAGGCCAACCTGACCAACCCAGAGGAGCAGGCCCTGAAGACCAGCGTGGGCAAAGTCTCCTCAATACTGGGCAGCCAGCTGTTCCATGCCCTTCTTGGTAAGAGAAAAACTTGTTTTGTAGAAGGGACACTTTTCCCTTTAGCTTAAATGACATCAGAGTTTTTGCCGTGTGAACTTTCTAAATAACTTTTCCTGTTCATCCCCCTTCCTTCTAACCCCCAAAACACACCAGGAGCGTCTGCGTCGCGTTACGGCCGCGCCGCGGCGGTCGTAAGGATCGCGGCCACTCTAGTCAATGGGTGCTATTACACCACACGCGCCGCGTTACGGCTCGCGTCCCAGAAGCGGCTCGGCGCAGCGCTTCTCTAAAATTAGGATGAATCCTATTTTTGCCGCGGCGCAGCCGTAAGATAAACTCCTCCCCCCACCCCCCCCCCGTAGTCTTTCAAGTAGGAGAATACATGCCAGCGTTCTCTTTACAGGCACTGTAAATGATATATATATAGAATAATTATGATGATGAATGCATATTTTTTTACCACTAAAATACAGCAACACATCTTTGATTCATGTCGTTTATAACTGGAATATTACAATTATTATTAACTGTGTCTGTAGTCTACAACACAACAAAATAGGAAATAACAACAATAAACACGATTTAAACAGACACAAACATAAACCATTTAACTACGTATAGCCTACTTACTTGTAGAAGTACAAATGTCCAGGAAATATTCCAAAATCAACAACAACTGCGAGGCTGCACACACGACGCTCCGCTTCCGCAACGTTTTGAAACGCGTCTGGTGTGTGTTGACGCAGGAGGAGGTCGCAGCGTGGCGCAGCCGCAACGTAACGCGGCGCAGACGCTCCTGGTGTGTTTTGGGGGTTAATGAGCTATTTTTTATGGTTTACTACACTCGGTTGTTGAAAGTGATTTAGTGTAGCTTCCATACTCTGATATTTGTTGTCATGTTGGCTGCAGGCAGGAAAGGATACCGACATGGTCAGGTTGTATTAATTTGTATGAGAAGTTAACTTGGTCTAAATGTTTCCCAATTAAGTCTTATGAAAGAGGCCTTTCAGTTTGCCTCACAAAGGTTTCCTCTGTAACATACTAGCATTGTAATGAAAAACCCAATAAAGCCAACCACAACACAGTCTATCTATAGACCGAGTTGTTGTACATTCATAGTTACACTGTAAGAGCACATTTATTTCCTTGACTTGATTTTTTTATGTACCATAACCATAACTTACATCAACAAATTGTAGGTCATTGAAAAACTCACCATTTCCAGAAGGCTATAAACTGCTTCTTAATGAAAACACCCTTAAGTGTGCATAGCTTCTGCTACAGCCACTATATTTACCAGCTTCACTTCTTCACAACGTTGGTGTTTTCGAAAGAGGCTCAGGGAAGCCAATGTGAATCTGAGTTCTTTTTAGAGCAGATGAGGCACATTACTTCAGCTTAACCGATGGTTGAGTGGTCTTTCTAATTACCACAGCCATTTTATAACAACGCCTGCCCTCGGCTCTGCTGTTGCTACTGCTGACCCACTGCTAGGGAGCTGAGGGGGAGGGGAGGCCCAGGCAGCAGTAAAAGAAATATAACATGACATTTACTAGTGATTTATCTAAAGCAATAGTGAACCAACATTATTCCATGTTGTTTGGCAGATAGGCCGATCCCCATTTTAACAAAGAATACTCAATGATACAAATGATAGTACCTAGTTCGTACTGCAATGAAAACGGGATGGGTTACTGGTTTTGCATGTGGGGTCGGACGGGTGTCTTTTTTTGTATCCCATAATTCAAAGTCAATATTTGAAAAGCAAATGTGGCTAAACAGGTTAGGAAGTCTCATCTCAAAGCCTTTTGATATGCATCCTTTTTTTGACGGATCAGAAGACACAACTGGTGCTTCTTTTATTGCTTAACAATCCCATAATGCATTTATCCGACCTTCCTTATCAACATGTACAGTTAAGAAATATCAAGAGACCATAAAGTATTTGGCTCAAGGTAGTAAGTAGCTACTAGTAAATTCATCGCATGGAATTGTAAAAAAAAGCCTCTACAGGGCGTAAATGATGGAAGCTTGAAGAGTTCTTGTTAGCAGGCTTGCAACAGTAACCCATTATTGTTACAGATGTAATCTACCTTGCTATTTATTTTGGACATTTTATGCTCATGTTCAGGTTCATATTTGTATTATGTGCCTCTACTGCGACATGTCTCCATGCTTTAATGTTCAAAAAAGTATTTATCTTTCTCATACTGCCTGTGCTGCAGCACCTCTTTTCACCCTCTGTCTGAAACCAGAGCCCAGTCTGATCTGATTGGTTAGCTGGCTGGCTCTGTAGTGATTGGTCCCGTTCGTTGGCCTATCATCATGTACAATGTATTGGAGCACTAGCCAATAGAAGCGCAAGTGTTACATAGTGATGTCATTCTGTTACAAAGTAAACAAAGGAGTCCGATTAGGCGCGTTCACACCGGAGTACTGTTCCCCGTACTTTTCCCGTTTAGTTCCGTTAGTACCCCTTATGTCACGTTCACACCAAAAAGAGTACTTAGTGCCGGGAACTTTTACCCCCATTTTTAATGCCTGGTAAAGAGGTAATACCAAAAAAGTACCAATTTCTATTGGCTGGGCGAATTGCAAACCACGCCCCGTAAAACAAAAAAGTTTTTTGAAGCCGCCATTGTATTTGCTGGCATTAGCATTATTAGCATTAGCATTAGCCCCACGCACCAACGGAGAGAGAATAAATTATGGCAACACAAAAAAAAACATGAGAGTGGTGGAGTGATGAGGAGGTGTCGGCGTTCTGGCGATTTACTCGGAAGGCAACTCCGGGGACTTCCGTCCGGGGACTTCGGGTGGCAGTATACGCCGTGAAGTTGTTTGCAGCCTGCCAGTAAACCCAAAGCAGAAGAAGACGAAGTGACGTCAGCGGCTCATTTACGTAATCTTCCCTCAGGGAAAAGTACTCCGGTGTGAACGTGATTGGTACTTAGTGCCCTGGGGTACTAAGTGCCGGGGCACTAAGTACGGCAAAGTGCTTGGTGTGAAAGCGGCTATTGATGCGTTTCCGGCAGGGGGGAGTGTGTGGGAGAGAAACTGCAAATGGAGCAAACTTTGGAAAGCCTTTGCAAACTATTTACATGCACAAAAACCTATATAACACACCCAAAAAGCACAATGAGACTTAAGATTTAAGTTAATGAGACTTGGAGAGGATTTCACTTCCCAAATCAGGATGCCAAACATTCCTTACACAGTATATTCAATCAGGGCAGAGCCAGAGGCAGGCGGCAAAATAAACTGCTCCTGGCCATCATGCCAAGCCTCTTCAACAACTCTCCTGGCTCTCTGGTGATAATCTGTGCAGAGTGTGAAGGTAGAGGAAGAGGAGGCCTCTGGCCGCGGTGTCTCAGGTGCAGGCCTTCGTTCAACATGTGGTTCTCATCAGGGAAGGCAGAGCGGAGGAGCAGCCGGTTCACTGCACTAATAAGAATACAGTGCTGTATAAACATTACTCATCCTCTCTTGTTGTGTTTGCCTTCACATGCTCAGGGCCATGTGAACCCGTTCAGTTCGGCACATTTTGTGTTTCTTTTTACGGAACAACAGCAGACAGATAATTAACAAGAGAATAATGTTTCAGATTGAGAAGATCAGAAGACAGCTCTCTGCTGATATTAAAGTACAGTTAGTTTATGCCTTATATGTTTCTCTGTCTCTGCACTGTGGGAAGTAGAAAGGTGTTTGATGCAGTGTGGGAAGGTTCAGTACAGGCCGCTTGATTGGATGTCTGCATGGTTGCACATTCACGAACAAAGGTTGCCTTAACTGTGCGTCCACCCTTTTGTTCCTACGTACAAACATGCAGTGGGAGGCTAGGGGGGCTGCAGGGAGTTAGGGCACACATACTGACAGACATGTTAAATTGCGGAAGACCCTAAATGCCTGGGGAGTGGTTATCGAGGCAGTGACAAGGGGGTGAATTGTTTCCTATGCCTTGAAATCGTGACCTAGTTTTCTGTGAATGTGTTATTCTAGTGAGCTATGTCTTGCTCACCATCATGTAAGAATCCAGTTGCATTCTCTTTCTGTATGATTCACCCAGGCAGACAATACAGAGATGACTCCGTCTAATTGAATAGGTACATGACAAAAAGGAGAGGCCTAACTCACACAAATACTTTTCTTGCATGGAAACCCCCTATCACTGTGACAAAAAGGCTTAGAGCTCAGATCAGGCTATCCTAAAATACACCCAACATCAAAAAGTCCTCTGAAAGAGACTTCTGGCTTGCATTATGTATTTCTTTCCATAGTCAGGAATTTATGTGGTCCGTGAGGGTTGGAACGGTTTGGTTTTCTTTTGGAAAGTCATAGTTAAACAAAAACTCTCTGTACTTTGTGTGACTGTGAATCTCGAGCTCAAAACACTTCAAGACCTGATTGAGCACCTTTCTCTGTTTTGTTACCTCTGCCAGGAATAGCTGAACAATATTTAATTAGAAGTGTTAGTAATGTGAAAGCAAGCCAGGTGTGCGCAATGCAGCTGCAGAGCAAAACCCTGTAAGACTTAGCAGATGCAACATTTTCAAAGCCTATTTAAAAGATGAGTTAACTACTGTAGATTATCTCATATGAACAATGGGTCAAATGACTCAATATATGTGTAGATCGTTCCAACAACATGTCTCCTTTTATAGCCAATACATAACTATATTGATACGTTTAGGCAAGAAATGTATCTAACTCCATTTTAATATCTAGATGTTTGTCTTGGAGTTAAGTCGCATACTCATTATACTCCCGTTGCTCAAAAGAATGTAGTAATTTCTAACTTTATGCTGCATCTAAATTATGTTCTAGCGTCATTGTAGGTATTTGTGTTGGTGCCTGTATGCAGGTAGGCCCTACAGCTTGTGTGTGTGTTTGTGTGTGTGCATATATTGCCAATAAGAGTTTGTGTTAGTGAGATTGCTCTTTAGTCAGCTGGGCAACCAACTCCTCTTCCCACACATGACTTCACTCCTCCACATTCAGACACAGGGATGAGTCACATGCTCCATTCTTACACTTTTGTTCTTGCAGTGTTTTGTGGGACATACTGACTCTTATCTCTCTCTCTCTCTCTCTCTCTATCTCTCTCTCTCTCTCTCTCTCACACACACACACATACCGTGTATACATCACTTCAAGGTACATTACATTGACTTACATGCATTTCCTGGAGACTTATCCTAACCTTAACATAACCAACACATGCCTAACCCTAACCCTTACCCTTACCCTTACCCTAACCCTAAACCTAACTAAGTCTTCACCCTAAAATTAATGATTCCCCTCATGGGGACCTCCAATTTGTCCCCATAAGGGAGGCGAGTCCCCACACGTGACTGTGTAAACAGATTTAAGTCCCCACAAGTATAGTAATGCTAGGCCACACACACACACACACACACACACACACACACACACACACACACACACACACACACACACACACACACACACACACACACACACACACACACACACACACACGCATGCATACAGAGAGAACTTTATTAGACTGTTTCAACAAAGAGGTCACATTGTTTATTGAAAAAGACATGTTTTAATATGTGTATTTTAAATGTCAGATCCTGTACATGTGTCCTTGAGCAGGGAGTGATGTCCTGACTTTGGGAAGTTTATGAACTCTCCAGCAACCTCTTGATGTCAACAGTGCGGTAACAAAGGTATGCGTGTGACATCAGCAAAATTGTCCCAGCTCATTCTCATCAAACGGCTGCCACTCAATAGGTGACCACAGGACATGGGCGTGTCATGAGCCGCAGGGTCATGAGTGGAGACCAGAAGAGAAGGGAGGACAACAGTAGAGTCATCTGAAAAAGAAAAAACTTCAAAAGAGATGCTGAAATGTGTCGCGAAGATGCTAATAATGCTAATCTCATATAGTATTTTGTGGTGTTTGAGAAAGTGTTCGTATGTTAATCACTAGGATAGTGAACATGGTAAACATTATACTGAAAAGACGCCAGCACATTAGCATTGTATTTGTGAGTGTGATAGCATTTAGCTCAAAGCCTTACAGCACAGCCTCTCACATTTACTGGCATGTTCTTTTTTGCTTTCACAAGCTTATATTCACAATATGGCTTGTTAACAAATATGTGAAGTCAATTCCTCACATAAAGTATGAAACATACCTTGTGAAAATGTGAAATATAATACCAACTTCCCTTTCTACAGCACTCAAATCAAGGCATGTTACATGGTATGGATTGCCCACTACTCAACTAGGGGGCAGTGTCTTCATGTATTCATCATGCGTAAGCGCTCATGTACCCTTACTCTAAAATGGAGCTTCAAAGCAACAACAATGGATAGACCTACAGTGTAACTGATCCATGGTGATGTTGAACTGAAAAGAATAAAAAGTAGAGAAATGACTGAGGCATGTTGTTCAGGTAATAGGAAATATATGTACGTGGGCCTCTTAGACTGGCTGAGCTGATGATTTACTCAGTCAGTACCTGAGTCATGTAGTTCTGCAGCAAGATAAGAAGAGCATTTGCAAATGTGGAGACATAACTTCCATGTCAACAGACGACTCCCACCCCCATGTTTTCACCCTGTGCACCACTGAGGAAAAACAATTCCCAACGTATCCATGATTGATCGCTGGACTCTTTTACTTAAACAAAGTTGCTCACTTTCGTTGGCTGAGAAGTTGTGAGCAGGAAATAAAATGAAGTTTAAAAAAAACACAAACATCTGTTTATGATGATCCAAGTTACGCAAAAAAACACGCTCAATTTTTTTCTTTTTTCTCACAGATATTCAAGAGTGTTACGAGGTGACCTTGCAACTGAACACAGAACAAACTGTTGTGAAAGAAGACAGCAGGCAAGATGCGTGGGAGGTAATTTTCCTTCTTCACATTATAGATTGGAGAAAATATGCTTAATGTTTACATTGTATCTGGTGTCACACATGCTGCCGTGTGCCGTGCTCTCGCCTGCGCAGAAAGGTTACTCCAGCCAACACAAGGTGTCACTCCCTGGGTCCCTCGCACTTCTACATGCAGAAAATGTGGCTTTGACTCCAACCTGGAGATTGAGTGTCAGCCGGGGGGGAAAACAGGAGGGAGGGATCACATGGGTTGACAGGAGAAGAGGAAATTAGGCAGAGTCAAAAGAACGCTGATTACCATTTGCTCATCATCAGTGGGCCGCTCTCATGAAGTCAGCCAAGTGTTTGCAGTCACGTGGTTATTTTGAATATTTTTACTGTAGGACACAAAATACAGCAACTGCTTTGAGAGGAGAAAAGCTCCCTCTGATTTAAACCATATTCAGCAGTTAACTGAGGAGCATCACAGAGTCCACACAAGGGTTAAAAATAAGGGTAATTTGGTTTGAAGTTCCACTGAATCCTTTACAGCCGCTGACTTCATGTCACTCGCATGATTTAATATTGCATCTTCTTCAGTTATGCCAAAATGTTAATGTAATTGATCTTTGCCTGACTTCTAAAGCCTGTTTACTATTGATCCCTGGCCTGTTTTTGAAATTAGAAAGAAACAAAAAAAAAGATAACTGCTGCTTATTGTGTGTATCTCTGTTTATTTGTCATGCAACATTTGTCTACATGCAGTGCACGGGGGTTTAGTTCATTGTGATGCCACAAACAAAAAACTGATTTCATTTTCAGTTTTCAAATTTCATTTTTTAACTGAATTTAAGGCACAATTGGCAGCTTTGATCCCTTTTAACGACAAAAAGGGTTCCTCCACTGAAACCTCAGACTAATTAAATTAAATTATTAAAGTCTTAAAGAAGCCGTATTTCATTAAAGGAAAAGCAGCAGGCCATTTCCTACGTGTACTGTTACTGTTGCACAATTATTATCCATGAGATGCCAAGTGTCACTTGTTCATTTATTTAATAAAACTAAATACATTTTTCTGTGTTGAATTCATTTAGAGGCATGCTAGTATGCAACAGTGTATTGATTCATAGAAATATGATATTAGTAGTTCTTTTTCAAATAACTAACACAACAGAAATGGGAACAGAGTCTACTCAAAAATACTTTAGAAGTGAAAAGAGCCCACTAGAAATATTTTGAAACCCTTTTCTGAGTTTAAATGTGTAACAAAAGCACTTCAGTTACATGCAGCAGGCTTATCAAGTCTCAAAATTACCAGCACAAAAAACGGACATATCTCTCACACTATTAGGAACCACTTTAAATGACTGTAACCATAGTGAAACAGACGGGACACATATGCAGTAAGAAAGCAAATTAGATATAACCCTGACCCCAATAGTCCATTGAGTGTTGTGAATGTATTATTCTACTTAGATGTGAGTTAGGGTTAGGGTTGGGTTAGGGTTGCGGTATACACAATGCCCTATTTATTATTGTTAAGGACACAACTTTAATCAGAAATGAAAGTCCACATTTTCAAGTGAATTTCATTACAATACTGTCATGCCCGTATCTGACTTAAACTCATTTAGTGGGTATGTTCAAAATGTTCGGTCTCTTCATTAGGAAATTCCCTGGTGCTTGACAGTTGCCTCTGACCGTCCCACTGAACCTCCTTGTCCATTTCCTGTTTGGACATTTGGGACTTTCTGATTGGTCACTTATTGACCCAGTGAATGTGATGTCAAACATTAGTCAAAAGGGCCTTACCTCTCTGATCCAGTTTTTTAAACAGGACAGGTGGCTCTGGGTTTGAATTAGCCACCGTGCGTTTGGTAGATGGGATCTTTACAAGATGTCACAATTATTGAATGCATGTTTCTAAATATGTATGTGCAAACCCTCGTTCAGGTTTTTTTTTTGTTATAAAGGGGATAGTGAAATTATGTAATTCAGTCCTGACATGAGATAAGAGCTTTAATCTAACATTGTTCCTTTGTGCTTAACAGCCCCTCCCTCCACTCAATCACTTAATGGCAATGTGTTTTTGAAATTCATGTGCTAAGTCTGAACTGGATTATGTAAGGTCCTTTGCACAGGGGAACGATCAAAAAGTTGTCATTTAGTCGACTTTATTAAATGGAGGTTTAAAAGCAGAAGATTGTTGTCCAGTGTATGACTTCGCAAAAAGCTCTGCTAAGGGACAGCATTTTCAACAGAAAGGAATCTCATGCATTTTTGACATTGAGTAAAGGATATAGTAGGCACCATATTGACATTATAAGTTCTGATATTTAAGAATTTGAAAGCATTATGACCTAACATGTAGGATTAGTCCAGTGGCTCTCTTTTTTGTGTCTGTAGAACAACAGCCATATTGGCTTAAGTACACGTTTATCATGAGCACCCATGATGTTCTAAAAAGTGATTTTTAGTTTGGATGTTATTTAAAACTGTTTCTAATATAAAATCCAATATTTGAAGATTATTTAGTACTGTTATATATATCATGTAGAACACTGGCTCCAATACTTTTACAGAAAGGAATCATCAATATTAAGGGAATTTTGCATTTATGCTAATACTATGAATTGTAGAAGCAGATTCTTTCAAACATTTACCTATTACCTTAAGCATTTTAAAAGGTTCATCAATTACTTTTAGGATAGCTATAACTATTTACCATGTAATTAGAACAACAAAATAACTTTAAGCCATCTGTTTCAGTCAGTTTTCCATTTATTTGGTTAATTATTTTAAGTTAACCATTTATCAGTTTGTATTACTATATATATGTACAGTACACTACTATTACTTAATGAAACTTGCCATTCAATTAATAAAGTACAGATAAAGCAGCAAATGTCAATCTACACAATGTGACATACTTCTTCTCCCTGTTTAGACAGAAAGTCAAAAATACAAAATATTGGACTTTCTTATAGGTGAAACACATTAGATCAGTTGCAGTGTCACATCTGTGACACCTATCGAAAGACCCCACAAACTCTGACTGTAGTCTGAACTTTCCTCTGCCATCCTGAGCTGCTCTCGGTGTGTTCTGTGATCCGCCCTGTCAAGCTTCTAATTCAGTGCAGCTTGGCTCCAGATCCTTCCCCACATCGCTCCCTCTCTGGATCCCAGCTGCTTGTGGGGCCAGGCACCGTCCTGTAGAGAGAGAGAGAGAGAGAGGGGGAAGTTTGAGAGGGAGAGAGCTGCTTAATGGACACCCAGTGAGGGGCTCATCAGTATTCCAGCCATGTTGTCACCTGAGTGGAGGATGGGAGGGAAACTAAATGAGTCTGCAAATTCCCTGATTTGGTGCAGAGTAGCAGGTGAGAGTGGAGAAATGAAAGAAAGAAGAAGGGTGTAGAGGAAAACCGTTTTTAGTGATGTTGTTGATGTTATACCTACAAAGATGTTGGTGTTTGATTGCAAATACCTTTATTATTGTGTGATAGTCCGGGAATAACTCAGAAAGTAATACCAATGAAGAAACTGAAACATTTCATACATTTAAATATTGTATGACTTGAATTATTAATTGATGGACTCATTTCAAATGTGACTGTCTACACATTTCTTTTTAAGTGCATGTTTGTATGTGAGTGTGTATGTGTGTGTGCATAGTGCACACTGGGTTGCATGTATTAGACAGAGCGGGCAGCTCGGGCTGTGACAGTTGACCTCCCTGTCAGCTCAGCCACTTGGGAATGAAGTGGTCATGAAAAACTCACTTAGCATCTCAGGACGCAGAGTACAGGATTCATACCAGTGCAACGACTGAGGAAAATATGTTGTGTCTTTGCAAGTCGGTGCCAGTTAGTTGCAGAAATGCCAGGCACTGCCACCTGACCTGTATGCTTAGAGATGTGTATTTATACAAACAATCGTCTTTTTAACTTGAGCAGCTTTCATTTTAATTTGTAATATTGCCTACGGCATCACTCCTTGTTTGGATAATCGTTGGGGCTGTTTTGATATAACTTTTTTTCCAACTTTGAACATGTAATGCCTTCTCGGAAAGCTGCCCTCTGCTGTCAGTTAAGGTTCTGTGTGGTCTAAACTTTGGGAGTGGTGTGACTGGTATCAATGAATTGCAAAAAAAATTGCAATTGTGGACTTATTGTATCCCCATCTTCATTCAGTACAATGTGTTATTTCGTTAAGTTTGATAAGGGACAAGTTTGCAATTATTTTGTATTGAACTTGATTTGTGATAAATATGAGAGGGAGTGAACCGTCCACTTCTGTGCTGCTCAGCAGGTGACTGTTTCCACAACAAATAGCCCTGTGTTGATGTGTTATTCTGCCCTATAATTTCCACATTTTAGATTTTGCAAAGGCTCTCTCCTTTTACTACACTAATGTCTGTGTGCTGAATATGAAGCTAAAGCCAGCAGCCTTTTGGCTTAGCTTAGCATACAGACTGGAAGCAGCTAGCATGGCGCTGTTTACTGACTTACTAAAGTCTTGGCAAGGCTGTGTTTTTAAACTATTATCTAAACATTTTTACAATGTTTACTGGGGAGTTTTGGGGCTGCAGATTTTAGACGTTCAGACAGTCATGCGTGCTGTTTTTAACTGCGTCCAGTCTTTTTGCTAAGCTGAGCTAACCAGCTGCTAGCTGTAGGTTCATATGTAGCGCTCAGAAATGAGTGGTATCAATCTTCTCACTGAAAATATACTCACAATCCTACAGATGTGCAAGTAGTATCAATGTTCTTATTTGACTCTCAGCTGAAGAGCAAATGAGAAATTACATTTTGTTGAACTATACCGTTAATCTTATTTGCGATGATTGTCATTTTTGGTATCCACAAGTTTTTTCTTTTATAAATTCCCTTTGTATTCACTCTTGTCCCACAGGAGGATGATGATGGAGAAGAGGAAGAGCAGGAGGAGGGTGTGTCTCGGGTGCGAGTGACCAGCAGGAGGAGCCCTCACAAAGTGGAGCGAGTTTCTGGCTTGGTGACTTTATCTCATGTCGACATACCAAAAGTGAGTAAAGCAAAGCAAAAAGGAGTTTCCTAGGGCGATCTGAAAAGACACAAGAAAAGGCAGCTGCTGCTAATAGAAGCAGATACTAATGAACCTCATGATGTGACGATTACGCATTCACCATGACAGTTTAGTGAGGCATCCCAGAAGTGCCCCAGCAAAATCATCATGAAACATTTTTGTTCACGAAGGTTGATGATCTTTTAAACATTTTATGATGTTGAGGCATGACTGGTAAACAACACACAAAGCAGTCTAAGGCCCCGGCCACACGAGGACGAAAACGGTCGTTTGCGTTACTGTTTAGTGTCATATAGACCGTTCGGCCACACGAGGACGACAGAATACGGCACTAAACGACTGCGGAAACGATAACGGGTCCCAAGGTGGATAGAACGGCATACGCCACGTTCTGGGGGGTCCAACGGCTCCGTGTGTGCGCCCTATACGATCATTTTCTGATAATGATGAGGCAATAGCCCCGCCTCTCCCCACTTCTGCTGCTCACCCCCGCGTCAAAGTAAACTGCACACTGAATTTGGATTATTTATCTTTCTCTCGATATGGACATAAACGCGAGTGAAGTATAATCTGACAGGACGGAGACACCTCTAAAACTATCTAAACTAGTTATAAATATGTTTATTTTTACTGTCGGCGGGTCACTCAGAGTCATTACTGGATCAGCTGCTGCATGAGACAGACACTCACGCTGCCGAAGAGAGGGAGGAAAAAGAGAGGCTCCATGTATTTTATTATTATATTATATAGATTCGTTATTCATTTGTTTTAAAGCTCAATAAATAACAAAGAAGACCTTTGACCGGCACTTTTGTAATTTTGTCCGGAAGATTTAAACTTTAATACACGTTGACTGGCGAAAAACTCTGCCCGGTTCCCTCGGCCCCCACCGCGGAGAATAAACAGAAGGGCAACCATGACAACCATGCTTCTTCGCTGCTTTTGTGGAGGAAGTTACAGCGCCACGTACAGGCTCCTGCATAATGTACTGCAGCTTCTCCAGCGGTTGGAGCTAAACGGAGCTGTCCCGTGTGGACAGACACTATCCGGTGAATATTGCGTGTGGACGGAAGCTTTTTTGCGATTGCGTTAATCCTATGCGTTTAGCCGTTTTCGTCCTCGTGTGGCCGGGGCCTAAGTAGTCCACAAATAGATGTTGTGTTAATTGTTTTGATGTTAATGTTTCATTCTTTAAAACGATTTAATTAACTTTCTCTTCAGCATTCAACACCTACAATGATAATTTGCATCTATTATGCTTGTACAGATCATAGTAATTAATAGTTTTTAAGCTTTAATCATATAGCAATTATGTGAAAGCCATTTTGTAAATATTTTGTCATCACTATTCACCTGCAGCTGCAAAACACTTACATTCTTAAGTATTAGTTTATGTTTTAGGCTCTCCTTGTTGCTCTGCGCTAATAACACAGATTAAAAGGAATATATAGTTTTAGGGAAACACATGTATTTGCTTGCTGACATTTTGATCGATACCTCTCCTATGTGTCTGTTAAATATATACCTAGAGCTAGCAGGCAGTTAGCTTAGCATACAGACTAGAAACAGGGGAAAACAGCTCTGCATTAGAAACAAAATCTGACTACATTCACCTTTTAAGCTCAATAATACCTGCTTTACATCTCATTACTTCATCTGCATATACAAAAGATCGGAAATCTTTAAGGTTAATGTGGTTAATGTGCCATTTCTTATTTTTACACTTGAGACATGAGATCTGTATTGATCATTTAATATAAATCTTGGCAGGAAGGTGAATAAGTGTATCTCCCAAAATAATTTCTCTACGATTTGTGGTCAACCTGCTGCTTACACGAGCAACGGTCCTCGTATGTCCTGATAGAGATTTATCTGATACAATATAGCTGTGTTCCTCAGTATTGTTAAAAGCCCTTGTGTTCACATGCCTTCCCCATTACAACACGGCCAGTGGCACATGGCAGCACAGTGGCCGCAGGCGTTGGCTTTTCAGCTGAGCCCAGAACTAGTGCAGTGGGTGGAGGCGTGAGGGGGTGAGGGGGTGAGGGGGTGAGAGAGGGGGAGAAGCAGGCTGTGAGCACATGGATTCAATGTGCTCGCATGATAATGTCTGCATAAAGATACGGTGACAGTACAGGTTGACTGTGAATTATACGGTGTGTGTTAGTGTGTGTGTGTGACTCCCTCCATCACATGAAGGAGGGAGGTGAGGGAGCTGAGGAGGCGCAGGGAACAGGAAGGAGGGAAAGAAAGGGAGAGAAATGGGGGGGGGGGTGTAGAGAGGAAGATATAGTGGGGGAGGCTGAGAGAGAGAGAGCAAGGCGGCTGAGAGGCGAGGGCCGGTGCAGTGCAGAGCTGGAACGGACACCCAGAGCTCAGCCTTTCCTCGGGTTGCCATGGAAACCACATTCCTCCCCCGCCTGCATCCCTACAGACTGCTCCGACTCTCTCTATCTATCTCTCCTCGCTTCTCTGTTTTTCATCCCGTCTTTTTCATTCCTCTTTTAATTTGTGTCTTTGTTTTGTTTTTTTCTCTCGCTTTCTGTTTCTGCTCTGCTTTTTACACCGTGCACGCATATGAGCACAATCGTGATGATGCACACTCAGCAAGCACACTGATTTCACAATGCTCTCTGTGACAAGGTGAATGGGTAATTGCACAGGGTTTATTTTGCATTCCTATGCACTCATGGACACATAAGCACTTTGTTTTTTTCTCGGCATCTCTCTCTATTTTATTTTCTCTATTTTTACTCCCCCTTCTGTTCAGCACCATGCTTCAGTAATGCCCCCTCTAGTCATTGCATTTCTGCCCACACATAGGGCACCTAGTTTGGTTTCTCCTCGGTTATTGCGTCTGTCGTGGACCTACAACACCTTTATCATATTTTATCAGCTACCTTCACCTTTCTGTCAGCTCATCTCTTAACCTCCTACTAGTACTCCATTTCATAGCTCTCGTTCTTTGTGGGCCTGCAAAAAAATAACGCTTTCCGTTAGCCATGCGGCTCTGAAACAATCTTCCACTCTTGTCATCTTGTATATCCCTCCACTTCTCATTTTGCTTCATGTGTATGTTTTACTCTCATTATTCCATCAGTTTGAGGTGCTGTGTTTTGTGTGTGTTTGTGTGTGTGGAGCAGCTGTTCTCTGCCACTGAGGCCTATTAATAGGAGTCTTATCCATCTAGCTTTTGTTTTCAGCGTCTGCATTGCTAGGAGAGCATCGTGGATGCTCTTTGGCAGGTTACATTAGCTTTTAGTACATAACTGATGAGTATCTTTTCTTCTCTGGGTCTGACTGGCTTCCTGTCTTGGGGTCTCTCTTGCTTTACCATGTACCCCCCTCCCTCCACATTCACAACGCTATGATTCATTGAGCAGTGGAAGCATTCACTGTAAAGATTCTGCTAAAGATTTACAGATTCTGCAAAGATGCAATGATGCCTGAGAGAGAATTTTGCTCCCCTCTCTTGCAGTTAGTTAAGGCTACAGTAGAGCGGCTCAGTACGTGTTGATATGGAGCTGCCTCTTTAAGACTGCCTCAGTACCGACTGTCCTTTTATGGTGCTGCATCCGGTCAGGTGACACAGGAGTAGTCTTCTCTGAGAAATGCCTAGAAATTACTGAAAAGCTCAGTACATGGTGTGTGCTGTGGTTGGGGGTTGTAATGCTCATTATGATAGTACGTGTGTGTGTATTTGTGTGTGTGTGTTTGTTACAGGGTGTCCAGGTGGGTTTATGTAATAAGGGCCGTGCAGGCTGAGGCTGAGCTCATAGTGTTGGGGGAGCTGCAAGCTGGGATGCGGGAAGCATCTCCGTTCAAAAGCACTGGATAATTTCCCCGTTTATGCCATAAATCAAAGGTCCCTCTTTTTCATTTGTCAACAGAAGGTCAGAGGTTAGCGCTTTCATTTCACAAGATAAATCACCTAATGCTGTTGCTCCACTCCTTTCCAGTCAAAGCTGTTTAATTGGTCACAATATTTATCAAGGACTGCACACTAATACTCACACCACTCACTCATGTATGTATACACATATGTGCATACGTGATGTTTATTATATATTATAGAGCCATGAGTCCAAGGAGTACAATATTGCTATTCTTTGGGGTCTTCTAAAGTCAAGTGGTTCTTATTGTATTTTCTACAGGATAGTTATTACATTTGAGTCAGAGTGTAATTACGAGCTAACAGTTCAATCATACCCAAGTGCGCGGTGTTCTTCCCGTGTTTGTAACAATATGTTGTTTCAGAAATTATGATAAAAGTTGTGTCACTATTATTTGAAAGGGAAACATTTTGTCCACATGTTATCTAAAAAAACATAAAGATAAACATTACATTTTTTACATTTCTAATATTTATGTATTCCCATTAAGGATATGCCAGTAACTGATTATTCCTTGGCAATGTCCTACAAACGGAAAAATAATCTTGTATAGGTGACAGTTTTATAACGTTATAAACTGCAGATTACATTTGAAAATGTCATGTAATCTAATACAAGGACACTGAAAACGACAACATGAAAAAATGAGTTTAATTGAGTCGAATCAAAACTGAGGCTACACAACCGCAACAAAAATGTAACATGTGCAAGGATTGTATTTATTGCATTGCTATGGGATATGATTACACAATATTGTACTGATGTGGAATTGATTCCACGTGAATAGGGCTGCAGTTTGCATTTCACACTATCACCTCTCTACTGAAATGTTTACTCTTAAAGAAGCTGAAAAAGCTATGAAGAAATACATTTTCTTAGAAATTACAGCGTGAAGGAAATATAAAAAATTACAAAAGGTTATAAATATCTAAAGCAACATGTACAACAACATTACCCTTTAAGACCTTTACTGTAATAACTCTAAGGGGATTAGTGCGTCCTGTATTCCTCTTACTGGAATCCTTCTGATACACAGAACCAGCAATTTATTGACGCTAAAAATACCTACCAAATTCTTTAAATATA